CCTGGTGGGTGGAAGCATGGTGGGTTCAAGGTCCCCAGTTCGAAGCCCATTTTTTGCTTTGTAAAGACTGTGGGATCTCTGGTGTGTGAATCCTCTGAGCCTTAGTTTGCTTACGTAGAAGTAGGGTACTGATATATGGCATGCGGGCAACGACTGCCCTAACTTGTGAGCATTAAGACTAAAGCATGGAGGTAAAGTGCTACTCATGGCACATTTACATACAGGTACAACGCAAATGCCTACGCTTAAATCAGCTTATTTATGATGGATTGTTGTATGCAGAGAAGAGCAAAAGGACTGTGGATCAGATGTAACCAACGCTTTGTTTTGCAGTCCAAATAACATCGTCACTCCAATTTTGAGCTATGTTTTGTGACCTCAGATACATGAGAGGAAGGGCAGTGACATGGGGCTATATTATTATATTGGCAACACCACGATCTGAGATTCTACCTGTATTCTCCAGAGCAAATCTAAATACCAGAGGCCTCTTTCTTAATGGTACAGTGATGAAGGTTTAGCTGTGCTTGGAAAACATGTCAAGCATATATGGTTTCCTAACTTGCTCTTGACCTGCAGGTCCAAATCAATTGACAAAAGTTTATTGGGTCTAACTTAGTACAGGTCATAATTTTCTACCCTCAAAAATCATGCATGCTAATAATTAGAAAAGACATGTGTATGAAGAATTGAGTAATATTACATTTAAGTAAAAATTCAAGAGAACAAAAGTCATGACAAATGCAGAGGTGATGGGTTGTCAGGAGTGATTCAGGCACGATTGTAAGTTCAGAGGAAAGAAACAGATCCAAGTTCTGGGTCAGACTATGCAGAGCGTGGTCCGTGCCATCCACGATGGAGGACAGCCTGCAGGCTTCCTGTATGACCCCTATTTTGATGTGGCTCTTTGAATGCTATGATGTTTGTTTCAGTATCTCACTGTGGATCTGGGGAGAAGAGGCTTTTTTAGCTTGCTCAGACATATTTAAGTAACTGGTTGGTTTGGTGGCAGATGGCAAAAGGTCCCTTTCTGCAGTGTCCCAAGCTTCCTTCAGTTCCTTGAGAAAGGAGCAGGACCTTTTGGTGAAAGATTGCTTTTGTTTTTGTGAGGATTCAGCAAGCTGATGAAATGTGGTGCTCAGCACATGTGTAGACCCTCAATAGGTGGTTGTCAAATACTTCTGTAGACAAGATATTAACCTGCGAGAGGTGATAATGCCGAATGTTAGTAACCATCAGAGAACAACTCAGAGGCAGTTTCCTAGCCTTCTTGCTTCTGCTTGAAGCCACTTGAGGCTGCAGAAAGTTCTGATGCTTTTGCACTAGGCTGTGAATCATGGATGTGGTGGTAGCTCAGACTGGGTCCCAGGAACCCAGGAGCAGGGGCCCACAGGGTGGCTGCCTGCCCTCCTGCTTCCACCAGTGTAGGGAAATGGTGAACTGCATGGACCCTGGAATCAAAAAGCCTAGGCTTGAATCTCCTTTATATTCCCCTTGAATCTATTGTATTTTGCAAATTACTATCCTCTGCCTAGTTTTTCTCACCTAAATAGACTGACAATGATATCTATTTTATAAGGCATTTATAAAGGTCAAAACGAGATGATGTATGCCTACCACAGTGCCTGGAATGTTAAAAGGGCTCAATACATGTTAGTCGTAACAGAAAAAATTTTGGACTTCTCACGAATGCCTCGCTCAGTGCTAGGCTCTGCATTAGGGGCTGTGAGATACAGATGATAAAAGTTACAATAATGGTGTTAAGAGATAACTTTTGCCCAGTGTTCACTGTGTTCCAGGCTTTACACATACAAACTCCTTAAGTCATTTAACAATGAGCGAAGTGACATACGGTCCCAGGAAATCAAGACATAGGATGTCGGATATGCTAGCTGACTTCAGATACAAGCTCACAGACAGATAGTTACAGCATAGAATTCAGTTCCCAGGTAGTTTCTTAATAAATGTTGGTCCCTACCCCCCTTTTCCCTTCTCTCTGTGTCCCCATTACTAGAAAGTGTTTATCCTCATGGTGGCTGATCATTAGCATTATCTTTGGAGCTGAGGATAGGTCGTTGCATAGCAGTGATAGGAGCTTGTGTGACATTTTCTGGTTTTCTCCCGGCTTTCCCCCTTCTCTCCACTAGGCCCAGATCTGCCTTCTACAGATCTTTGCACCACAAACTTGAGCTGACTGAGTAGTGGAGCCACGGAATAGAGGTCGGCTCTTCAGCCTGCACGTCATCCACTGTTAGGTGGTGTTTACCGAATGTGTAACTGAGGTATTTGTGAGGCCAGTGGTCTCTGTTTAATAGAACACTTCCCATTTTGAAAAAGCCCATTCTTTCCTGTCCGTTAAACTTGGCAAACAGTCTTTCCCACGCTGCTACGCAGGTAACTAGTCACCATCATGGATGACTTAGGCTGCATTAAGAAAACACTTCCTTTTTGACATATAACATTAGAAGATGCCTGAGAAGATAAGCACATTGTTGACCACAAGTGAATTCCAAATCTCAGAGTTCAGTGTATGTGAAAAAAGAGAGAAACCCCAGCCCTGAAGCAGCCTGAGTAAAGGCCACCATGATGCTTCAGAGAGCAGGGCCGCAGGCCCATCCTGCCCTCCGGGGAGCAGTGCCCCATGCCTATCTCTTGCACTGGATGAGGTGGGAAGGGGTACTTAGGAGGTGGGAAGGGGCGTCTGCCTTGGAATCAAAGCAGTGTAATTTTGTGGTATTTTGCCTCTTGCCAGGGTAACCTCTTTTCATGAGAAATGCACTATAGGATGTAGCCAGCCTGCAGGAATGCAGTAATAGATCTGTGGTTTTCCGAGCCCACGCCTGATAGGAGTTCCTGTAATCTGGGCTGAAAGCAGGGCACTGAATGGCACTCAGGGGCACTGACTCGAGATGGAGCTGGACCTCATGCACTCAGACCTCCTCATATGCACAGGGTGACGCGTATTCACACACACCTCAATGTGGAGGGCACACAAAGTAATCAGAATGCAGAAACATTTTCTTTCTGAAGAGATGACCAGATAGTTATATAATAGGTGTGGAGAAGGAGGGAGGAGAGAGGGCTTACATCTCCCCAGTGACTGCATTCCTTTCTGAAATCTGAGGACAACTGGAAGGTGAAACTCACGTAAGGAATGAAGAATCACATTGAGCTCCATGGCTGCCCACCCTGTCTTGGGGAATTTAGACCCCAGCTATTTTAACATGAAATGGGAGGGGCCCCTAGATCGACGGCATATGAAAGTCCAGCTGGGAAATATCTCCTGATTCCAGGTGGAGCCCTCTGCTGTTACCTAAGCAAGGCCTCTGTTACGATCTGCTGCGTTTATTCCGAGTCATCTTTATGAATGTCTGCATAGCCATGTAGGGAGGGTTGAGGTGAACCTTGTCAAGTTTTCTTCTAGAGTTTGACATTTAGCTGCCAGAAAGTCTGCATTCAGAGAATTCCTGGCTGTAGGAAACACTTACAAAATGAGAGATTCAGAGGCTGACAGGGTCCAAAAACATTCCAGCAAGCATACTGAAGAGGAAAATATGAAGCCAGGTGACCTTCTGGGAAAGATGTAGATAGCCCTGAGAGCTTTGGCTATGGTGGGTACAAGTAACAGGAGGTGACAGACTAGACTAGAAGTGGCTGGATGTCCAGAGGACTCAGCCAATTGATACAAAATGTTGATGATTTGGGGTTGCTGATAATTCTTTGCACCCCAGTTCTCAGACTGAGACCTAAAGGTTGAGAGACTCACAAGAAAATTAATTTTCCCAAGTCTCTGCAGAAGAGAGACAGCCGTGGTTGGAGGACTGGTCTAGACTGTCTTTGCTGGGTAACTGTTAGAGTTGTTGAGGAGCCCTTGGTCTAGGCAGAAAGAAAACGCAGTGATTCTTATGAAACAGATTAACAGAACAGTGAGGGAGTGAGATGGGAGATGGAAATTCATCTGGTCCCCAGACACCGAACCATCAAGGGCCACCTCGCTGTGTTCTTGTTATGGCTAAAGTCAGACTTTCGAGCCCTGGATCTCTGCACTCCAGCAAATCCAAACACAAAAATCTCAGTTGCTTCCCCAGGACCTTGCAATTTCATTAAATGATACCCCTGCCCATTTGTGTACAGCCCATAGTCTAGGAGTCATCTTTTTTCCCCCTGCTTTCTCTGTCCCCATCCATGATGTACACAGAACATCCCCAATCCAGCCATTGTTTCTCCTCTGCTGCTACCTGTGAGCCTTCCTCACTTCTCACCTAAACCACACCCAGCCGGCCTCACTGGGCACCTGCCTCCATTCTTGCCCCTGGCGTACTTTTCTCTCCACACCTCTCAGAATAAAGGCAGCTCCTCCCCTGTCTCCATTTGCCCCTGAGGGAAGGGCTGGGCCTGGCTTACAAAGGCCCTTGCTGCTCCCTCTTGTCTTTGCGGCTGTGCTTTGTATCAGCTTGCTTGCTCCTACTTGATGGGCCCTGGGCGCTAGTCATTCCCCTGCTTGGAATATTCCTCTCCTCTCTTTATTACCCGCTCCTTCCCACAACCGCTGGTTCCTTCATGTGTGTCATCCAGACTGCAAGTCATGCATCTGCTTCTCAGAGGCTCTTTCACTGACCCCTCAGTGTGAACCAGGCGCTCAGCCATCCACTGCCCTGTCCACCAGCTGTCACGTGCAGGGAGTACTCGTTACTTGCAAGCCTGGCTCTGATGGTTTCTTGTTTGACACTTGCCTGTCTGGCTCCCCGAGAATGTAAGGTTCATGCGAGCAGGAACCTGGTCTGTCGCGTTCGCTGTGTCCGCGGTGCCCAGAACAGTGCCGACGCAGAGGGAGAATGCATTAAACACCCGTGGAAGGAAGGGCTGAACCTGTGCGCCACCCAGCACTGGCAAGGGCGCCGATGATCTCCGGATGTGGAAGCCATCCGCAGTGCTCTCTTGGGCCACCTTCCTCCCCTGTCATTTCCCTGGGGTCTCATCCTGGTCTCGTTCCCTTGCAGCCGCCCATGCCAGCTTCCTTTCCCGTCGACGGTGCAGCAGCACTGCCCGATGTCCTCCCAGAACTCCTCGGCCAGCGGGCCGCTGCACTCCGTGTCCCTGCCGCTGCCGCTTCCTGTGACCCTGGCGGTGGCACAGCCCCCGCCCGCCGCCTCCCCCAGCCAGCAGCTCGGGCCAGATGCATTCGCGATTGTGGAGCGAGCCCAGCAGATGGTGGAGATACTAACAGAGGAGAACCGCGTGCTTCACCAGGAACTTCAGGGCTACTATGACAGTGCCGACAAGCTCCACAAGGTAAGGGACTTCCCGAGGGAAGGAGGGAGGAGGTTCTCTGGAAGGGACAGAATTCTCTACCTGCTCCTGGTGGGTTGATTCACTGACCCGCTTGCCACCATTTAACCAGATCCCTTTTTATGCCAGGCACTGTGGAGGGCTTTAGGAAGACGGAAATACATAGGACACAGTGCCTGCCTTGGGGGAAGTCCTCCAAGGAGAATTGCCTAAGCTAATGCCTGCAGTAGAATGGACGGGGCTATGTGGGTGCCGCCCAGGTGGCCCTGGACCTGAGCCTCAGAGGCGAAGTAGCATTTCCCCAGGGAGACAGTGTAGAAGAGAGAACACTGAGAGTAACAGGACTGAGTTGAGAGAGAAAGGTTTGTCTGTTAAATCAGGGAGTCTCGGATGGGAGCTTGTGATCGCCACGCTTGTTCCAATAGCTGTTCTCTGCAAGAGCAGCATTGTCCCGATGCTGAAGGTAGAGCACAAGTTACTGCGTGGTCCCCTCTTGCCTGTGATTTATCTGGTGATGGGGAGATGCTGTGTAACTCTAGCCTGTGGTGTTAGGTGGGACTGTTAGCATGTACGGCTGCCTTCATTCTTAGGGCTTTATGCTGGGAGCCAAAGTCAGTCGGGACATCCAGCAAGAATGAACCATTGTGGGCAGTGAGTTCATAATGACCCATGCATCAGCTTCTGAAATGCGGCGGGTAGAATGGAAGAGGTGAGGGGGCAAAGGTCATAGATGTTTTAGGCACCGGAGCCACAGGGCACTTGAGTGTCCTCTTGGAGGCAAGGAGGCATGTGTGGTAGGAGTGATCTTACGAGTCTAGGTGTCTGGCTCCATCCTGGGCAATCAGGGACTTTTGTAAAGAGAAAGGTGGGAACAGAAACCCTGCCTGACTACAGGAATGCTGTCCTTTGGTTCCCTCTGACAGTTAATGCTCCTGGGTAGCCCATTTAGTATTCTTCTTTAGTACTGATCTCTAAGGTGAAGCCTGGTCTTTTTGCTGGTCGGGTTTCAGAGTACTAAGCTCTGATTTCCTGAGGGCTGCAGTAAGCAGCTGGAAGCAATGGGTTTGATGGTGCAAATGTTCGCAGACAGAATCTGCCCCAGCAAGTTGGTGCAGAGTTTTCACCGAAAGGTTCTGGAGCTCCCGGGACTCAAGACCAGACTTGGCTCAGAGAGCTCTGCTGTCTTTATGGGAGGGGAAAAGGAGAGCAGAAACCAGCAGGCTGTCTGGAGACTGTGGCTTCACTCCCACCCTAAGTAGCACCCTGGACACTGGGAAACGCACATGCAGTCTCCTGGCCTTGGCTGTAAGTCGCTGCTCAGGCCTCGACTTGCCTCTGACCGCTGCCCGAGCAGCTTCTTTCCAGGTATGGTCTGAATATTGGAAAGGACCCACTCAGTACTTCTGGGAAATAAGTAGCTTTTTCTTGTCCGTGATGAAGCCCTGTGGCAAGCATGTCCAGGAGTTTGCAGACCCACCGATGGCAGAGTTCGATTCTGGGTCTTTTCATATGGATGTTTTTGAACAGTTACATGGAGGGTGCAGAAATTGGGAGGTCTTGTTATTAACACATACTTTTTATTGATTTGTAACATACATCTCTTTCTTGGTTTTGGCATACATTTCTATTGTGAAGAACACAGTCAGTCTCTCAGTGATTCAACTTCTCTGCACAGAGATGGTTCTTAAACTGTGTTACCCAAAGGATTTCAATGGCTTCTGGAAAAAGAGAAAACAAAGCAGAAGCTATTTCCCTCCTGGAACTCAAAAATTCTTCAGTCCCTTCAGCATATAAGTGGTTGCATAAATACTACATTTCATTAATCTGTCATGCCCAATTGCAATTGTCAATTTAAAAACAGATTTTGATGAATACTTGCCATCTTTATCAGTAGACCCAAAGGTGTTCCCAACAGCTAGGACTAAGAGACAGAAGCAGTGCATGAAATCTGTGATCACATTGCATGGCTTGTGCTCCTGAAAGGTGTCAGCACTGGCCTCGCTACCCAGCTGCCTCAGCAGCACCTTACACCTTGGGTTTAGGGACGGGACTATCAGATGAGACGACAACTTTATTTCTCTGCTTTGCAGGGATGACCCTACTTTGGGTGGAGCTGCCCTGAGCCAGCAGGAACCTCCAATCTGGGTGCCTCATGGCACTGGAAGCAGAGATTCATTGTGAGGACAGAACCAAAAATAGATGAATTTTTAATTGCAGGGCTTAGCCTATGCATACTGTGCCAGAAACACAGCAGGAATGAAGACTAAACTCAGAGTCTGCCAAAGCACAGCCTAGATGTGAAGAGCCTGTTTCCAGAGAGGCCCAAGGTGGTGATTATCACTGCTGGTGTTGGAGCGATGGTTGAGGACCCCCAGAAAGAGCAGTTATTTTTCAGTATTTCCTTTTGGTCCCTCATTATGCTTCTCTTTCCTCCCAGTTGCCCTGAAACATAATTCATTAACGGACAGACTTTCCAGAAAGACCAGACAGTGGGCTGTTGAGTGGGTTGGCCTCAGAAGCCATCAGGGCATAGATGGACATTTGAAGGGAAAGGGCCAAGCATTTACGGGGTACCCCCAGCTTGCTTTAGTGAAGACCTTTTTTCTTTTGTCAGCAAAACCGCAGTGGGTGCAAAATGGGCAGTCTGTGGCTTGGACAGCAGACCTCTCCTTGGTCCTGTGGTCCCTGAGCTGTGCGCATATTGAGAGCTTGGAACTGCTGAGGTTTTCTCAGGGCTTTGCACTGCCTGTAGGTCTGTTTCTGGGACAGGGAGTGATTCTATCATTTCAGGGGCTCTTGCAGTCTAGCCTCAGAACCTTTTGACATCTGGGCTGGGAGGGAGGATGGGAGCTGTGAAGGCATACAGTCATATTCACACTCTGAGCCAGCCCAGATGGTTTTTATATCAAAGCCAGCCTGTGCAGCCTTTTCTTCATCTTTAACAAACATCAGGGGGATCAAGATGATCTGGCGTGAAGAGGAAGGTGCAGTCAGGAATTGCGTGCTCAAGGAACATGCAATCAGGAATCATACAGCTTCAAACTTAAAATTCTTAGAATGATCCTAGTCCAATTTTCCACCCCTTAGGAATCTTTGCTTCAGATCCCTGACAGGAGGGCATTTATTTTTTTTACGTGAATGCTTCCAGAGAAGACAAGCTCGCTACCAGGTATATTTCTGGAAAATGTAGTTAGAAAATTCTTCCTTAGGTTGAATCAAAACCTGCATCTCTTTGCTTCCTACATTTAGTCCTAGTTCTGTCCTTTGACCACTCTGAAGGACATAATCCCTCTCTACGTGACAGCTGTCCGTTCTCACAGGAAATACTTTGCCCTGGACTAAGACCCTCTCCCTTTCTCTCTTGGTAGCTACATAACCATATTCCAATTCTTGACTGGTTTAGTATTTGAGACAGTAAACTGTGATGTCATCCGGATCCTGCAGCCGCCTGTTATAGGAGGTAAAGTTAATTTAGTGAAAGCAAAGAATCCATGACCAGGTATAGTTTAACAATGCCTGAGCCTGTCTTTAGGAGTTATAAATTTAAAGATTAATTAACCAGTATTTTGTTGTGGGCAGGGCACGACACGATTCTAGGGCTGTCGAGGCTCTTTGTGCCCTCGAGGAGTTGACAGAAATCAGAGACACGTGAGAGTTCCAGTCAGGTGAACACAGCAGACCAAAGCGCTGTGAAATCAGGTAGAACAGCTCCTGCGGTTCTGTGCTGAGGAAGGCTTCCCAGTTGTTCTGGACTTGAGGCGTGAGCGCCGCCCTCATGGCAGATGCCTCACGGTTCATGCTACTCTAGGCTTCCTAAGCGACAGGGTGATGCCCTTTGGACTTGAAGGGGACTGTCTGCATGGCATGCTCATCTGTCTGAAAACCCAGGCCACCTTTTATAGATGAAGTTAGCATAGAAGTGGTGGTATGTTTTGGGGCCTTCGCTTTTGAAAACAAAATTAAAAGGAAGGAGGGTAATTTGCGGCAGGCCTATGAACAGGGTCCAGGTCATGCTGTTCTCTGCTGCCACATTACCAGCAATTCATGATACCTTTGGAAGAAACAGGGAGACCTTGTTGAAATGAGGGGACTGTGGAAGCACTAGCTGTGGTTTTAGGAGGCCTGTGGGCAAATAACATGGTCCCTAAAGGGGCGTTGATGTCTGCTCCACGCTAGTTGGCTGCCATTCAGCAGAAGCCCAGTGCTGTCTAGCCCCTTCACAGGCCTCTTCTTAGATGGGTCTTGGCTCCCTGTGTCGTAACCTCTGGGGCATCGCCCTCATTCTCCCTCCTGCTTTAAGCTTTTGGCTTCCCGCTGTGGGACCACTGGCTTCTTCTGCCTCACCTGCTCCTGCAGTGTTAATACTCCCGTCCTTGGTCTTCCCATTTTCTGTTGATCTCCCTAGGTGGCCTTCACTTGCCATCTATATGCAGGGGCACAGCTGCTCTTGTGCTTTCAGACCTATGTCTCCACCTGCTAGCTAGGAGGTGGATTTCTGCTAGCTAGAAATCCTTGCCAGGATGTTTGCAGGCACCTCAGATACAGTATCTCCAAACTTGCACTGGTTTTCTTTCTTTGGTCAACGTGTTTCTCTTATGATATTTATCTTGGTTAAGTGTTGTTACTCTGTCTTCTAAGCTGTGAATATCTATGTTGTTTTTGATTTCTTCCTTCCTTATGGTCCAGACCACTCACTAAGACTTACTGATTGTACTCTTCAGTGTCTTCGGAATTTGTCCTTTCAATTGTCTTAGTTTGCGCCCTTGTCATCTGTCGCTGAACTGTTTATATTAGCTTTTTACCTGGACTTCTTTTCCTCTGCTTCCCCTCCCTAGCCACACCCCTACCCCATCTTTAGTTTTATGTCTGATAAGATCATGCTGTCCTTCTGTTTATAAGCCCCCACTCCCAGGCCCTCCTGTCCCCGTAATTCTTCTTTGCCCTGTAAAGTCCTTCCTTTGGGCCCTCGCTCCTGCCACTTGCGCCTTGCTCTCATCCCTGAGTGCCTGTCATGTCCGAGACATGCACTCGCTTTCATGGCTCTGTTCTTGCCTCACGTTCCATCTTCTTCCCAGAATTGCCAAAGCCCTTTGGCCTTTGCTTGTCTGCTTGGCAAATTCCTGCTCATCCTTCAAGACTCACTTTAGATGGCATTTCCTCTGAAGTCTTTTTAAAAGAAGCCCCTGCAAAGAGCACATTGTCTCTAGGCTGTCATCACATGACACCACCACACCCCTTACCACATCTGCACTGTAGATGTGTTTGTCTGGGTACAGGCCAGCTCTAGACTGTGAGCTCCTAAAGACTGAAAGTGCCGTACTTCTGTTTCCTTGACACCAACACATAGTAAGTGTGCAACAGGTATCTTTCAGGATATGTATTATTTATAGGGGTCTCAGCAGGGACTTTCTGATCTGGACAGTTGGGGTGCCTGGCTCATAGTGACAGCTTTCTGGTGGGGGGAGGTCTCTTGGTGGCCAGTGAGGGGCGCTAGTGCTCTCACACCGCCGGGCTTTGCCTTGATTCCTACATGTAGCCACAGTTCTCCAAGGCTCATGTATATGGGCACTCTACCCTTTCTCCTGCCTTTATGTTACAGAACAGTAATGGGATTTACTGATAGCTACTTCAAAAGCATACTACTGTATTAGACTCCTGTCGTAACAGTTATAGCTACATGTTATTGCTCTATATACGCCGTAGATTAAAGGCTTTCTCAGTTACAGCTTCTGATTTAGTGTAATACAAAAAGTGTTTTACCTCCATTATCTTTCAAATTCTTCATATAAAGAGGTTTTCTGTGATTAAACATAATTAAATACAAATCCTTTAGTCCTTTACATAGATAATTTCATAGACAGAGGTAAAAATGCTATAAGCAAGGAAGCCTCCCCTCAAGCAGATTTTATGTTCCTTTGTGGCTGGGTAGGAGGGTCTCTGGAAGAGCAGAATACTGGGAGTCTCTGTAATGGAGTCTGGAAACCTGCTTACCAGTTGTGGTCCTGTAGTTTTCTGTACTGTAATGTTCTCCCTTACCTTAACTGGGAATTAGAATAATAGTTATAAATTGTCATACAAAGTATAAGAGGCTTAGTTATGTTTAAATTTACCCCTTGCTGATAATGGTATACAGGGACCTTTATGCCATGACATCAGACAGTCCAGCCAGACTTGTGAGCCTGCTCGCTGCCCCTAGAGGGCAGACATGGGAGTGAACTCAATTCCATGATTTGGTGGACACGAAACCCACGAAACCTAAGATGTGGAAATGCTGCATTGAAGATACAATTCACTCTTGGAATGTCAAAGAATAAGCATAACTGAGGCCTGAGAAGGTCAGGAGTCCCACTGTCATTNCACGAAACCTAAGATGTGGAAATGCTGCATTGAAGATACAATTCACTCTTGGAATGTCAAAGAATAAGCATAACTGAGGCCTGAGAAGGTCAGGAGTCCCACTGTCATTCCTCTTTTTTCTTTTAGTTTGAGAAAGAACTTCACAGGATTTCAGAAGCCTATGAGAGCCTGGTCAAGTCCACCACCAAGCGAGAGTCCCTGGACAAGGCGATGCGAAACAAGCTGGAAGGCGAGATTCGTAGACTCCACGATTTCAACAGAGACCTCCGAGGCATGGCCGGTTACATTCACGCTCTCTCCCCCTAACCATCCACGTAGTTGGCAGCCGACTTCAGGTCCAGATCGTGTTAGACATTCTTGTAGATTCCAACCACCTGGGGGAGGGCCGCGCCAAGAGTGGAATCTGCTGTTTGTCTGCGTTGTAGCTTGTAGGTCACAGCATGAACCTGAAAAGTGACAACCTTTGTACCCAAGACCCTAAAAGTGACGAGCATGTCTGTAGCTCCTTCTTTGTTTTAAAGGCACTTAACCATTAGAGTTAGCCAAGAATATTTTTGTCTTAAAAAAAAAGGACTACTATGTTCAGGTACATTAATAAAGAAAAGAAGTATAGGGGGAAAAAAAAGTACTTAACAGCATATGTCAAATTTATTCAGTAAAAAAATAACTAAAACATAACTTCAAAATAGGAAGAAGTGATAAAATAAGAGCACTTAACAGTGACTCGTGACTATGTGAATAGAAATGTTTGCAGACGGACGCTGAATGCACAACCCTTCCCATGTCAGGCTGACTCATTTGGTGGCATTCTTGGAAAGCCCACACTTCACACTTGCTGGGTATAGTATGGAAGACAGAGCCAGACATATGTCTCTCTCAGAGGAGAAAAGAAAGCCCGTGGTTGTGAAAAGAGTAGATATATATAAGAGCCACCTGCTGTAGGATCTTGGCAACCTCCAACACGCAGAATGATTGAGCCCGTGCAGTTTTACTTCACTTTCAGTCTGCCAAGTCATTTTTCAGTTGCCTCGTATGTCAAAGTGCTCCATGTCCCGGGAGCCTCCAGTAGTTAGACCCTCTCTCTTCTATTGCTAGGGATCCTTTTGTCTTGAGTATATTGTACATTCAATAATTCAACTTGTTAAGCTGAATTATTTAATTGAATAAATGAAGATTCACCAGGTGGTTTGAACAAACACAGAATTCACTGTGTAGAATCTTCTTCCATTAGGCTGTTTTGGCCTTTTTGTTATTTATTTGTTACTTTGATTTTTTTTTGCTTCTCCCAGCTGCAGATAATAGTCACAGGCTAAAACATAAGGCTGATGGTCAAGGTTTAGACTGGGGCTGGGTTTGAGGCCAAGGAGACTTAACCCCTTTTCTAGGACTCCAAGTCAGTGGCTTGCTGACCTTTAGGGAGTGATGCAGTTTTTCTCAAAACCTCTTCTTAGCTGTTGACTGCTGTGCACTTGATTAGGGCACTGACAGGCACAGCCTGGCATCTGAGGACTTGTGATATTTTGGGACGTATTGTTCCTCCCCAGGAGTTGCTCGGTGTTGGGCTCCTGCCTGAGCATCTCTTCACGCTCTGTAAGCAGCTCTGGGAGCCCATGTCATTTCTTGGTAGGATGACGACGCAGGTCCCTCTGCCCTTCTTTGTAATCATTTCCTCTCTGTGCACAGATCGACTGGAAACCGCCAACAGGCAGCTGTCCAGCAGAGAATACGACGGGCATGAAGACAGAGCTGCCGAGGGGCTTTATGCTTCCCAGAGTGAGTCTCCACGTTTTTCTGTCCCAAAGTTGCTATTTTTAAAAGCTGGAGGCCTGAGGAAAGAATCTTGTTGATTTTAAGTAGGTTTTGTGCTGTTTGTTCTTTGTTAATTTAGCACATAAGTTGTTGGCCCTCCAGTGAGGCCCTCCTAGGTCTGCCAGGAGACAAAGCCTAAGTTGGTATGTATCATTTCAGCAATGTTTATTCTGTCCTTCTGACCTACCCTTTCTGTTTCTCTATAGGGCCCTCCAACAAATAGCAACATTATACTATTTCCTGGCATTCACCACTAAATAAGACACTACTCCTTTTCTGCTTGGAAAGAGGACACCTGTGGTGGGATTTGATTCCCTTGCCATGTTCTGTGCTCAGTTGGGCTGAGCAGTTCTAGACCAGCTGTCCCTTGCAGGGTCAAGCCACCTAGTTGATCTTGTCACATATCTCCGTATGTGACGCTCATCTCTAAAAGCCACTGAGTCCATTTCAGCCAGAAATGGAATGAACAATGCCTTCCCATGCCTCTAGTTTTATTGGGATTATATTTTATTAATTTCACTGGAGACAAATGATAGAATCCAATGGTTTTTGAGAAACCATCAGCCAAGGTTTGAGTTTCTGCAAATTCATTGTCCAAGTCAGAAATGTAAAGATCCAACTTGGTCTTTTTTTTGAAGCTGTTCAGACAGTTGAATTCATACCTGTATCATAATTCTCAGCAGTATTGTAAGTTAAGTGCTCACAAACTAAAGACAGTTTCAAACAACAAAAAGTCACGTATTCCGACACCAGCTGTCCACTGTATGTGTAATGGTGGCATTCTGGTGTTTGAGTCCCTCAGTACAGACCTATATTTTCAAGGCTGGCATGTAATTGGTTGAACTTTCTAATTTCCAACATGGTGTGGTTGGGTTTAAGCTTCTTTGTTTCCCCCAGATTTCCTCATGATTGCATTCTAGTTATTATTCTCCACTTCATCTTTAAAATTCTGTTTTGGCAAATGTGCACTAATACTGTCTAGGGCTTTTGCCTCAGATTCCTCTGTAGTCTTGCAGTAGGTGAATTGGCCTGTGTTCCAGATTCATATAAAAAGCTGTATCAGTATCTTGAATTATGCACTAGCCTAACAAAATTCTCTCTTCATATGAGTGCAGTAGATTTACTATCTCATCTGAGCTTTCCTTTGAAAAATGAGTCATGTAGACTGTTTACATTTAGGAATTTGACACCTTACTGTTGGATGACTGTGGGCCTAGCCAGAGTTGGAGTAAGTGTCTTTGTGGAAGTTATGTCAGCAGTGTCATTCTGCTGATGCTCTGCCTTCTTGTCAAGGGACATTATTTTGCCCCTTAGTTCAGGTCAAAATGGAATAGCCAATTAATGTCATCTGGTGGGCATTTGTTCTAGCCTCCTGGTCCAGGCTGTGCTGATGGAATAATAGGGGTTGTTGAATGAGTTCAGAAATATTCCTGAACACTTTAACTTTCTGCCTTAGCTAAAACATCAGTAATACAGGCAAAAGGCCCTGTGAGCTTTACAGGGAATTATTTTTTTCTGTGCGGGCATGTTCACTGTGCTCCAAAGTCACAAACAAGAAAGTCCAGGCGCATTTTTCAACTGCTTAAAGATATCTCAGTGTTGACATGTGATGTAGTTGTATCTAGGCAGGGTATTTGAAGTGGGTTTGGTAACAGTGATATCAAACCATTTTTTCAATACCTAGTCTTTACAGGACACTTTGTGCCTTCATCACAGTTTTATATTATTAACATCAGCTTTTCCTCTCAAGGTGTGGTCAGAAGATGGACCTGAGATGTTATTTCAAATTTAAAAATAGGTATTTTTCTTAGTGAGTTGTAAGAGCTCTTTGTATATTAAGGAAACTACTATGTTCCCCTACCATATATGTTGCATATGTTTTCCCCAATAGTCTTAAAAATATTTTAATTGTAGTATTCTTGATCTTAAAAGAGATTTTTTTAAGTAACCATATTTATGCCTTCTGGACTTTATGTAATGCTTAGAAATGCTTTTTGTATTCCAGGATTATACAAATATTCACCTACGTTGTCTCCAGAAATGTTTATGCTTTCATTGTTTGTATGACTTACATTTTGGAGGCTAGTTTGTGAAGAAGGGGTAAAGTAGAAGAGAAGTTCATGAGGGACTAACCTGGAGGCAAGGAGACCAGTTAACAGATGTTTTAGTATTTGCACAAGAGAGGTAGAGGTCCTGAACTAAGAAGCAGTGATGGAGAGCAGTGGGCAGAGAAGCCAGGGACAAGTTAGGGGGACTTGATGATCAATTGAATGGCGGCAGTGAGAGGGAGAGAAGGGAGTGTGATGGCCAGAGCAACTAGATGGATGGTCACCCTTTACCAGAAAAAAGGAGGAGCAGGTTGGAATTAGGTAACAAGCAGCAGTTTGAGTTTGTTGAGCCATTTCTCAGCATGTCACTCTGAGCAGGTGTGACATAGGTGCAGACACACCAGGAGGCTGGTGCTGGGCATTGCTGTGCACTCTGGCAGGTTTTCACTGTACACGTGGCGCAGAGGGTAGGATGATTACTACCTCTCTTCCTGGTTACTTATGTGTTCCATCACCTGTGTATTGTTTTAGAAATTCTGTTGCTAGAATACTTTCAACTGCCTAATAGTCATAATTATAAATGTTGTGCATTCATGAAGAGCCATCCTATTCAGGTGAGTCTTGAGAGACTAGCCCTTGGCTGGGAGAAAGGCAGAGCTGCAGAGCAGAGAGAGTGATGTTTCTGGACAACACATACAGAGGCCCTCGGGCTCCGTTGTGAAGCCCATGACAAACCCCTTGGCCCGTGGAAAAGTTAGAGGGAAGGGGAGAGTGGAGAAGAGCATACGCGATGTTTTTTCTAGGTGTTCATGTTGAAGCTAGGGGTCCAGATCTGAGAACACCTCGCAGTGCAGGCAATCAGCAAGACTCCTGTAATGCTCTCAGTCGATGGGGGAGAAGGTGTTTTTGGCCTGATGAATAAATTTCCCTGCTGCCCAGGGTAGTTTTCCTTTAAAGACAGAACTCTGCTCTTATGTTGGAGCTGATGAAAGCCTTGGTGGACTGCCTGGGGAGTTCGCACTTAGCTCTGCAGGTTGAAGTGCACATTAAACAGGATGATGATTGTGCCTCTCTCGGACAGGAGATTTGTCTGTATTAAAAATCTCACTGAACTAAGTGCTTGGGAGTTTGATGACTCAAGATTTCCTTCCTTCCTTCCTTTCTTCCTTCCTCCCTCCCTCCTTCACTCCCTCCAGGCACCTTGTGTTTCATCACTTGTTGTCTTGGGAGGAATTTAAAGTTTTTTGTTTGTTTTCTGCTTTTGCTTGTTGGTTTTTCCAAATACTTTTGCAGCCAAATTGCTCCTGAAAAATGGCATCTAGCCAATTCCTGTTTGGTCTGGGTGTGAAACTGGGGCTTCTTCGTTCTTTAACTTACTGGGATTCCTGGTTTTCCCATTCATTTATTTTTCTGTCTCTCTCTTTCTCTCTCTCTCAAATACACATACACACGCACACACACACACACACGCACACACACACACACAAACACACGCCACTGTCCACTGAAGGCAGTGCCATAGGGAATCTCTCTCACCATCATTCTTAGCTCTGCCTTCTCAGTAAGTGAAACCTTTTAATTGTTTCTTCCTGAAAAGTCTTAACTCTGCAGAATTCCTATACCATTAGCCCAGAAAGCCAAAAATAAAATACGAGATGTGGGGAAACTTGACTGACAGAGATGATCTTACTGTGTTCTTGGGTTGAGTGGGAGCTGATTAGCTTTGGCATGCTTGTATTGTTCCAGGTAAAACCCAGACCTGTTACAGGGCGCATGTGAACTTACCTCCATCTCTTTGGGATTCTTAGGCCCTACAAGTTCAGAATATTTGCCTGAAGTCTGTGTAGTCGGATTCTGTCTGCTAAATGGTAGTATCCCTCTCTATGAAAAAAAAAACGATTGTTGGACATATACTTATTGTTTTAAGTTGTTGAGAAATGGGTATAAATGAGCCAGAAGTATATGAATTTGATTTCCCTTCTAGTTCTCATGAGTTTAAAAATTAACCAAAGAAATGTGTGGGACTAACATGTTTTAAAATAACAGTAATTTGCCTTTTCAGTGTGTCTTATAATCATCTTACTCTTGATTCTTACTTTAGGTACTTTGATTTTCTTCCTCTTAAAGAATATAAAAGAGATAAAATTACTTCCTAAAACAAAATTCTTCTGGTCCTTGTATTTCCTATAAGGGCCTATATGCAACAGGAGTTACAGTGACATAGACATTAATTCCGTTGACCCACGTAGAGCAGAAGGAGATCCTTCTGACTCCTCATTGGGTTTCGTTACCTGCTGTGGGTTTCTCTCAGGCTTCATTAGGAAGGACAGGTGAGATGTGGTCACATACGGGCTCAGTCCTGTACCCCCTCCTCTGCCTGCCAGCACTGGCAGCTTCTCCTGACTTGGTGCATAGCTCCTACTACAGCATTTACTCTCTCTACTTCCTGGATGGGCATGATTTACATGCATCTCTTCTTGATGCGAGAACCACTGGCATTCTTTACCAGTATCCACCCCCAACCCTCACTAAAGTCCCTCAAACCTGTATATATCTGAACTCAGTAAGTATGCATTGAGCGAATGAATAAAAGTAGAAAATCCTTACAAAAATAGTCTTGAAATTCTCATGCAGCATCAGTATTAAAAAGTTCTTTTTAGCTCAATGTCTCTCAGTCATGTTGGGAGATACTCCAGGTTATCCTCAGAATAGGAGCAACTTAAAATTTCTTGAATTTCTTTTTTGCCTTCCTCCTTTCTGCTTTCTTTCTTTTTTTTTTTTTTTTTNTTGGTTTCTTTGTCACCTTCTCTTTCACTCCTCTGCTCTGGTTATACTGCAGATGAGAATTGGCTGTGGTTTATAAAGGTTTGTATAGCAACTGGCCAGATGCTGACATTGACCAATGTGTGCCAGACA